CCGACACCACCAGTTTCGCTGCCGCCCCCCCCCGCCACCGTCTTCTCAGTCGCCACCCCCTCCACCCGTAACCCTCGGAGAGTATTCTTTAACTCCGAGTAGAGGGGGTGCGGTCTGCTGCTAGGGGGGCCCAAGGAAGCGCGAGGGAAAAATTCCGCCGCTGAGGGAACCCGGAGCGCTGCCGTACGCCCTCGGAGACCCGTGTTATGGCCCTGCGACCGCGCACCCCCCCACGGTCGAGGAAAAGGGCAGCGTCCTGCAGTTAAGGGGAAACCCGGTACGCGGGGCTAACCCTCGGAGACGTGTTATGGCCCTGCGACCGCGCACCCCCCCCCTTACTTAGCTCTTAGGGGTCAGGGCTCTCTAGCCCGTAGCCCGATACCGAGCGTCCGGCCAACTGGGTGCGCTTCTCAGCTCCCCGGTCCTGGGCGTGAGGTTACTGACCGCACTCCAAGTGCTCCAAGTGCTCCAAACGAGGGATGGGAGGAGGAAGGTCCCCACCTGGGAGCTGGGTTCCGGCTCCTAGGACATGCGAATACGCAAGGAGATGGCATCAGAGACGCACAAATACACATCCACCTCGGCAGCGGCGGGTCGAAAAAAGAAAACATCGGTGCGCGGCGTCGCCGTCGGACGTGCCCACTGTGCCTCTGTGTTCGTGCGTCGCCCATCTCTCCTGGAGATCACTGCTCTATTTGTTTATGGAGCGCGCTGACGTCATCGTGGCGTCGGCCAACCCGGAGCGCGCATGGAAGGAGCTCTCCGTGAGCAGCCCCGAGGTCGTGGCACGCATCTCGCAGGCGAAGCGCGAGTTCGCCACCTACCAGCGGCGCGACGGCGTCTTTCTCGCGGCCGCGAGGGGCCATCCTGCGGCTGATGGCGTGAGCTAGTGGGCGTGACGGGAGTCGAGTCCAAATACACAAAATACAGATTTACTGGGGTGGACGGAAACCTCGGAACCTCGAGAGAGGCGCGAGCGACGCCGCAAACCGGCTGAAGGCTGCCTTCGCCCAGCTTCAATCAACCGTTAACATCCCTCCCCGAACGCAACCGACAGAGACGGAGAGAGGGGCGCCGCGCGCGCGCCCCTACTCCTACTCCTGCCTCGCCGCAATGGGCTGCGCGACGCTCGCGTTCCAACTCCTCCTCGCCCACATCGCGGGGCTGGGTGGCTCCGCTAGCGGTGGCGGGGCCGAGGCGAAGCGGCCGCCGTCGCGCATCCCGCCGCCGTCGCGCCTGCCCGTGCGGCTCCGGCTGGTGCAGAGCGAAGCCGTGTCGCGCACGAGAGACACCTCCACCTGCGTCTCTCTCGACTGGTGGCCGGCGGAGAAGTGCGACTACGGCTCGTGCCCGTGGACAAACTCGTCGCTCCTCACCGCCGACCTCTCGGACCCGCTGCTCGGCTCGGCGATCGCTGCGCTGGCGCCGCTCCACCTCCGCGTCGGCGGCTCGCTCGCCGACCAGGTCTCCTTTGCTCTCTCGCGGGAGGACGGCTGCCCGCCGTTTGCCGTGGACGTGACCCGCCGGATCGGCTTCACCGGAGGGTGCCTGCGGCTGAGCCGCTGGCTGGAGGTCCTCTCGTTCTGCGAGCGGCTCGGCTGCGGCGTGCTCTTCTCCGTCAACGCTCTGCGCGGCCGCACTCGCGACGAGTGCCAGCCGGCAGCTCTACCCGCAGTCTGCTCACGCGCGAGCCGTCGCCTTCCATGAGCCTCTGCCTGGCCCGCCGTGCAGGTGGACACGCCCTGCCGGCTCCTCAAGAAGGACGCGCGCCCGCCCTGCTGCTCCTCCTACTCCGGCGCGTGGGACAGCTCGAACCTGCTCGCACTGCTGCGCGCCACCGCCGCCGCCGGCAAGCGTCCCTCCGGCCTCGCGCTGGGCGAGACATAGCCGAGATCTCCCGAGATGAGCCGAGATTGGCCGCCGGCCTCGCGTTGGGCGGGCCTCTCGCCCCTCACGCCGCCACCGCTCGATGGCGCACGCCGCGCCGCCGCGCCGCCCAGCAGCTCGCTTTTCCGTTTTAGGCAACGAGCTCGCCGGCGACGCCGGCATCGAGGCGCACCTGTCCGCAGCCGAGTACGCTCGCGACCTGCTCTCGCTGAGGCGGGAGGTGGACGCCCTCTGGCCGACGAAGCCGCCTCTGCTGCTAGCGCCCGACACCGCCTTCGACGCCGAGTGGGCCAAGCTCTTCCTGAGCCAGCTTCGGGCCGCCAGCAAGGAAGGCGGCGGCGGCGGCGGCGGCGGCGGCGGCGACGGCGACGGCGGGCGGCTGCCGCTCGACATCCTCAGCCACCACATCTACCCTCTCGGCGCGGGGGACGGGCGGCAGATGGCAGCCTCGCCTCGGCGGAGAGCGGGAGGCGCGAGCCGCGACTGCTCACCGCCCCGCGCCGCCGCGGCAGGTGGCTCGCTCGCTCGACCCGAAGAAGCTCGACTCGGCGGTCGGGAAGCTCAAGGCAGAGATATAGCCGAGGTATAGCCGAGATAGCGGAGAGACTCGGCGGCCGAGAAGCTCAAGGCGGCGGCCAGGGCGACGGGCGCCCTCCTGCGCTAGCCTTCTCGGAGCCTTCTCGGAACCCTCCTGCAGGCGGCGGCGAGGGTGATTAACGCCTCCTCCTCCGGCCTCGTCGCCCCCGCCGTCTCGGAGAGCGGAGGCGCGTACAACTCTGGCCAGCGCGGTGTCACGGACGGTTTCGTCTCCTCCTTTTGGTTCAACGACTTGCTCGGCGCGCTGGCGAGGCACGGGCACGCCTTCGGCTGCCGGCAGGCGATCCTAGGCGGCCACTACGCGCTGCTCGACCTGCGGCGGCGGCAGCCGGCGCCCGACTTTTACTCGCTGCTGCTCTGGCGGCGGCTCATGTCTCCGAAGTCCCTCCGCGTCGTCAAGCTCAAGCGGGTGCTGCGCGCCGCCAGCGGGCTCGCCGCCGCGCCGCTGCTCAACATCTCCTCCGCCGAGCCGGACGGCGCGGAGGAGGAGGAGTCGGGTGGGAATCACCGCGCGGGAATCACCGCGCCGCTGCTGCGCGCCTACGCGCATTGCGCCCGCTCGAGCCCGGGCCATGCGGCGCATGCGGCGAGCGGAGACGACTCGCCGACGCTCAACGCGTGGGGCGGGGTGGCTGTGCTGCTGCTGAACCTGGCCCCGTCCATCACGCACGGGGTCGGCCTCGCCGGCCTCGCGCGGACCGACGCGCCGCCGCCCCGGCTCGACTTCCTCCTCACGCCGACGCGCGCCGGCCTGCGCGCGCCGCGCGTCGCTCTCAACGGGGGTGAGCTGCGCGCGGCGGCCGACGGCACGCTTGCCCCCCAGCCCCCGAAGTTCTCGTGCTGCTGTGTCGAGGGGCGAGCATGACGCGCTTTGCCAGGAGGCCTGGCTCCTTGGAGCGGGGGGGGCACCCCACCCACCACCCATCTGTCCCCGCCCCCGATCGTGTCCTGAGCCGTTCGGGAACCCAGAACACCCG